CAGAGTATATAAACCGATCTTGGGCTTCAACCATCAGCAAGATCGGTTTATATACTCTATCATATACAACAAACTCCATCATCCCAAATCACATAAAAGTCAATTTTTACAACGGAGTGACACTTATATGATTCGAATCGACTAAATACACTCAGTTATACACAATACCTTCTCCATTTTTACAATATATAATGGCATTAGTCAACTGCAAAGCACATAAACATGGATTATATAGACCAAAAGAAAACTGAATTAATCAAATTAAATTCTCACGCTAACATTTCAAATCAAACGCATGCACATTGAAATTCAAGCCCAAAACAAAAAAAAAATGAAGAAAATTACCCACTATGAGGAGGCCGAACCTCACGATTTGGGGAGTAGGAACATAAACTGGAGTAATGGCGACATTTTCTCTCTCCTCCGCCATTACAGAAGATTCTGGAGTAACCCCACTTTCAGCCATTGAAGAATGAAGGATTAAACTCCTTTTACTAGTAAATTGAAGCCTTAAATTTGAGGGTAGTTGAAAATTGGAAAGGGGGAAATTGTCAAATGGGTTTGAAATTTTGTGGGGTTTGATTGATTGTAAAGTGATTGAAGATGATGATAGTCCAAAAGAAAGATCAGTTGCTGAAAAACTCATTCTTTATTTTTTTTATGATACTTGAAATAAATTAATTCATGGCAATAGTATTTGAGAGAAGAAAAGTGTATAAAATGAAATGTAAAGAGTGAAATTGTGTCAAATATGCAGCCAAGTTTAGGGTGAATTATGTGGAGGAACTGAGTGCAGGAAAAATGTTGTTAATGAATTGTCCAATTTCGATGGAGTAGGCAATTTTTGTAACGAGGGAGGAGTGAATGGCCTGATTAGAGGCCAACGGATTCACTAGAGACCAATGGCCTGTTTCGGATTGTATTTGGGACAATTTATGCATAGTACGGAGTAGATTAGTTATGTACAGAGTAATTTCTAATTACGTACTTCTTACTCGAGACCTCGAGTAAGACTATATCATTTTCAGTAGCAAGTTACGCCAATTTTTGGTGAGAAAGCTCGAATTCCCGCTTTATCAATTGTTCTTCTCAAATGATAAAAGTGTAAATAAATCAACAAAATATCCGATCATCGTGGCATTTTCGTAAATATATCAATTGTGAGGTCCATAGGTAATAAAAAAATATTGATTTATTTACCGTTTTAACACCACTTGATATCAAGGTTAACTTGTATTTTCTCAATTTTGGTTAGTGTAATATCGAATTATGTGATTTCCAATAGAAGATTCAAGTCTAGTATTTTAGGTATGTTATTGATTAGTTTCACAATGTAAAGATTTGAGTCCATTTGACCAACTGATTTAGACATCATTTTTTTTCCTAACTATGATCAGATCGATTCAAGATTGGATTGTTTCAAGGTCTAGAATTGCTCAAGACATTATTGGATATAGATCTTTCTCAAATTTCAATTTGATCAAGATTATGGGCCATAACCAATTTAATTGAATTTTAACAAAAGAAATTATCTTTATAAATTTATAAATGGAAGTAATAGGTGGAGAAAGATTAGAATCAAATTTGACTTTTAAAATGTTTTACATGGATTGAGTTCACAATAAGCTCATTGTGCATCTATCTATAAGCCATAAGCCACAACAAGTTGATGTAAGTAGTTACACCCTCTCTTTGACATACATGCTTTAATTTATGATAAAAAAAGTTATCCTTAAGTGAGATGATTAGCCATAAAGCAAGCATTTCTTTGTCAACGATAAAGAAAAATAGAAAATGCGGAGTAAAAAGATCAATGTGCTTCATATTCCCTCCTTCCCTTTCGTAGCACCATTTTTCTTTTTGTTTTTTCACTTTTGAGTGTGTAAATGACTACAAGGATATAAAATGATATAAAATGAGGATATCACTTTTTATAAAATGTAAGTAGTTCAATATGACAATATCACATCCCTACATCCCAATCTTGTCTCTTATTAATTCCACCAATGGCACCAAATCATAATAAATTAAAAAGGTAATAACATTCCCACCAGACAAACAAAAAGAAACAAAGGATTTTACATGTCTCATAAAAAGTTTGATTTAAGGGTTCAATCCAGCAAGTAATTATACTAGCAACTTTTTGCAACGTTCAATTATGAATTAACAATTTAAAATCAATAAGGGACAAATTTATCTTCAATCAATTCCTTCAATTATTATTCATTAATGATCAATATATTTACAAATACAATGTATGTGTAATACAATGAAAGCAATTATTAGAGGTAAATCAAATTCAGAAATCAATCATTTTTTATTCAAAGAAAGTTTTATAATGGCTATAAGAATGTTTTTTTTTTAGAGAGAGCCACAATGGCAAATGATGTAGACGAGATTTAATCTCAGGTATTGAGTACCACCCCTCAAAACTTCAATCAACTAAGTTAGTTGATCATCCACTAAAATACAAGAATTGTGACCTTGAACTCAATGTATTGATTAGCATACTTACTATCAATAGGGTAAAAATATTTATTGCAAAAATGGTTAAAATGAAGTTGTAACCATCATAAAAAAAAAATCCAAAAATAACCTTTCTGTATAAAATGGGGGTCATTGTCACCACCAAAAATGTGCAAAGTCGCCCATCGATCATCAATAAATCTAGAGACGAGTACTGAACATACAAAGCAATGTGCATCAGAATGAATGGCAGCCTTTGTGACGAACCAATTTACGCCGAAGAAATACGCGTTGAACCCATGGCTTGAAGGACAAAGCAACACAAACTGCATGATGTAGTGCAGTATAAAGTGCCAAAATTACGCCCAACATGAAATCAGCTATTAGTGTTTCGAAATAGGAGGATAACAGCAAGAAGGTTTCATAAACGTCTACAAGGGCGAGCAAGAAGAGAGAAATTAGAAACGCGAGTAAGAGGCAAAGTACGATGGCAAAGACAGCTAGAAGAATAATACAAGAAAAGAAGGTACCATAGAGGAATGCGAGGAGGATGAGATCGATCATGGGCAAGAATTCAGAGCTATGGAGGAAAGAAGGAAACAGAAGAGAGGTGTGATACTTCAATTTATGAAGCAAAGAAGAAAGATGGAGTGAAATGCACTCATACCATTTCAAATAATCTGGCCCCATCACCATCTTTTGGATGTTTTTTTTTTTTTTTTTTTTTTTTTACTAGGATGAGCATAAAGGAATTGCAGGTGTGAAGTTATTCTTACCTGCAATTCATCACTAATCATCCTTTGTCGATTAATTAATGACTCTAATAACATTTTCGACAATATTTTACCAGATCCAAAAGCTCGATTAGAATCCGCCCAAAATTTGGAGTTTTGAACACAGTTTTTCTGTCGGAAAGGCAAAACAAAGCGAGAAAAGTAATTGAAAAATGATTAGACACAATAGAGAACCAAGCTGTACCCTGGCAGCCCAAATTATGACCAACCTGACTGAATGACTGATGAGATTAGTTTGATTGCAATATTAACAAGTTAAACATAACCAAATCTGACTCTTCTGAACTTTTACATTGCTTGCTATTCTCTTCATTTTGCTTTATAGAAAGGAACAAGTGGACCATACATATAATAAGCTTACACATTATTATACCGACTTCCAAGTTTGCTGTTTATTCTCAAACACTACAAAAAGGAACAAAGAATTTCAAGAAATTACAGAATAATTTCATATCTACGGTATCATATCTACGGTATATATGAATGATACAACTGATAAGCATAAAGCTTGTAGGCACAGAGATGTGTCAATGAACTTCCTCACAACCAACAACATGAATTACAGTTTTTCACGAGCCTGAGACTAGCAAAGAATAAATGCAAAAATGGGCATCAACTCCCTCGATCACTCGCTCTAGTTTGAACAATTTTACCATCCTAGCATTAAAATTTCAACGCACTTTTGCATCTTTGCAAAGGCAAAAATCAATATAAGGTAAGTCAGCCAACTCGAAGGGCAGAGCATAACTGAAGATCTGTACAAAAACAATGCCTAACCTTACGGGGAAAATTTGAAAATCCTAGATACACTCCCTCTTCTTGTGGGGGCGTTAATCTTAGTATAACCTTCAGTTGGTGTCTTGATTTCATGATCAAAGCAAAAGAATCCATGATTCTGCTGCCAAAGGTAGATTGTGCAGTTGTTATATGCTTATAGCTACTTTTCTTTCTGCATTTCAAATGAACAAGATAATCAGTATAAAAGGAAATTAGATAGAAATCAAATCATCAGAGCATCACTAGCTTTACAGCTACTTAGAAGGGGGATTGTGCCCAACACATTGAACACATGCTTAAGATGCCACAGAATTCACAAATTTTCGATTTTTCAATTATTACCTATTTAGAATTATAGTTGAGGGTGAAGCATAAAGTGGTAAATTGTTATTACAAAAAAATATATACACTAAAATGGATAGGGAGAAAAAATTCTATGAGAGAGGGGAAGACATGTATATGAACTACTGTATATTAGTATCTCAAATAACTATTTCTCCAAACAACTAGTCCATAAAGACATCACTTCAACTGTCATAAACTCATAATAATAAGGTTTCACATGATTAGGAAGTTGGCATTTTCAGGCATTCTGGAAGAATAGTCACTCATGGCCTTGGTCAGGGTTGAGCAACTAAGCATAGGAGCTGAAATCCTTAGGGATCATATGGTTATTATGATTGTAAGGTGAGAATTTTAGAAGGTTAGAGATACCATGATGGTGGTTCATGCTAATTTTGGAGAAATTTCCTTGCATTTACAAACAAGAAATCTCTCTGTTGTCATCGAGGTTTCAGGTAAAGCCCGAGTAGCTAAAACATTGCCTATCTAAATGAAATATACGAGTATGGCATAGTTACTTAAGTCAACAAGACAATAACGCATTCAGAAAGCCAATGTTTTTTTTAGCTCATTGTTAAACTATTTTAAAAAATAAATTGAGAAACAGAGGATTTCAGATACCTTCTCACTTTAGATCAATCAGACTATTTAGTTGTTAATTGCTTCTCCACATTCCTGCTTATGACCCACTGGTGAGGGTAAGATGAGGAAAATGATTCAAGTGGAAGGCGCCATACCATGATGCTCAAGCAATTCCCTAGCAACCCTTCCATTTGGCTTTCATCTTCGACAACTTGCTCAATAAATGTGCTCACCTGTAAGGCATAGTAAATGGAAAATGCATTAGCCCTCCACATGTGATAGAACGAATTTCTCTAGAGAGTTCAAGATGAAGAAAGCACACAAAATGCCAAATGCATCTGTCATACACCAATATAACTGGCAAAAAAATAATCTTGAGTTTTGTTTCCATAAGACGCTCATTTAAAACCAAATATAGTGAGAACTGAGAAGTAAGAGATACATGAACCACATTTCTGTAATAGTTTTCTTTTCAAAGATAATCCCATTTGAGCAGAGACATGGATTAATGAAAATGGAATACCATAATTATTGAGATCAATGTTAAGTATTCTTGCAAGCACAAAACTGCACAAATTTGAGAACCTAATTCTTCCAGCTAGAAGGATAGAAATTGCACACTTTGCCAAGACAAGATTGCACAAAAAATTTAAGAAACCAACTTGGAATTTCTCTTCCACTGTGTCAAGCTGCCGTATAGGCTCAAGGATAGGACGATGCCATCTCTTTGGATCCCATAGTATGGTACTATTGAAAGCAAATCCAGAACTATCAGCATGAAATCTTCGAGTCATTTCATCAGTCTTCCAACCAATAATTTGACTCCCATTACATACAGGACCATCATGAAAAGTTGCACCACGAATCACTGAAAGTTTGGCCAATTTCCAAGTCCCAAATCTCCTGGAATCATATGCAAGGGAACCAGAAAGCATTAGAGGAAAGGCAATAGATAGAGACTAACAAGTTATAGATATTAAAATGTACCACCTACAACACTCCTATTCTGTCTTAAAGAACACCTTGTTAATGTGGGATCAACTACAAAGGGATTTGGCAAAAAAATAAAGCGAACCTCTTCCACCATAGAGCTAGTTGGCATAAATCTAATTGACAGAGAAATGCTTTCCAAGAGGATTCTCCAAAAAGCTATAACCATTGCTTATTAAGTAAATTACTAGGCCACTGCCAGAAGACAGACATTCATATATACCCAGAAGGGTAAAAGTTCAAAAGCCCAATATACCCATTCTTATGCGCTTCTCAAGAGGAAAAAATGCAGAGTTGAATCCTATACCTCCAAATAAACATCGAAATTCTCACAAAAACCCAATTACTTGGATCCACATGGAAGCACGTCATAGGGTCAAGTGGTCAACCAACTAAAACTAGTTTATTATGAGAAAAAATAATAAATAACTATATCTATCTTTCCAGTGCGGTTAAAAACGCTTAGCAAGTTAGGTAGTGTAATAGCTCTTATATTGTGAAACCACCAGTAGCAAACAATAACTTATTGTGCTCATACTCAAAGAAACTGATCACGGTATGACCCAACAATACATATAGACTTAACATGAAGATGAATACATGTTGAGATGGTAGACATCAACTTAGTGGCTCCTGCATGGGGTGTCAGCCAAAAGAAAAACTTATATATCCTTTTTCAATTTCCTAAAAATATACTTATATGAAGTAATTTATAGCAGTTTTGACCTCCAAGGGCAGGTGCATCAACTAAAATAGGATGTGATAAACAATTTCTGTTGCAAGACAAGTCAGTTGTTTCCCCTTTGTAAACTTATTAAAGCTGCATGACCCAGGATACAAACAAACATAGTATATAATAAACAAAGAAAAAGGAGGGAGCTAAGGATGATAATGATTTTATAATGAAGCAGTAAACATTCTACTTGATCTGACCAAGATCTAAAAATGAGAATTTCCATGGAAAATCAAGAGAAAACTGAAAAAAAAAAAAGAGTGAAAGTATAATGGCCATAAGTACTTTTGCCTACATTAAACAAACTCAAAATTAAGTAACAAATATAAAAAAAAGTCCAGAAAGAAACAGATACTCTTAAATGGATTTAAGAAATTGAACAACCATAACATGCATTACCTTATCTGCCTCAACTCTGCAAAAAGATCTAAAGAGTAGACATTGACATCATCTGCAAAATAGACAATTCCATCAAGGCGATGTGTTTCAATGTGTGCCAAAGCCACATTTCTCTGGTGAACATATCTGTCCCTCACATCTGTTATGTTCTTATTGCAAACCAGATGTCTGTACATAAGTCCGGTCTTCCTCAAAATCTGAGTTGTTTCTGCAGATTGAGAATTCATCTCAATGACAATCCATACCAAAGGTGGTGGAACAAGTTTCAATGTTTGTGCCAACCGATTCAGATAGTAAGCTTGGAATGGCCGAGGATATGTAGGGGTGACAACTATCAAGAGTTTGCGAACTTCCAATGGTGGATTCTCAATGTCTGGTTTAACAGTAAGTGTTTCACTTGCCATCCTTTCCATCTGCACTTTTGACTCTTGATGTTGCTCGTGCGAGGTAGCATTCTCAATATCCTGTGTCCCACCTATGGATGTACGATTTTCCAGTCGGGTCTCATCTATAGAAGAAACATTTCTTGCACTTACAGAATGATATCTAACTGCAGAAGGGATCATGTCAAAGAAGAGAGTCTGGTGCTGGGGCATAATTCTTCCCGGAAAATTCGATGTACCAAAAGGAGTCAATCCAATGAAGACACCAACCAAAAAGAAGACTGAAAAATGCAGGATAGCCCTCCTCCATACATGCCCTTTCGATTTCGATCTATCTAGGGAACGCGATGATCTATGTGAGAACAAACCAAGAACAAAATTATGCACCCTATACAACGCATACTCCAACGAGTTATAAGACGAATACGATAATCCACTAGGCTGTAGAGGGTTCTTCTCAGCTGAGGATGATTTGGATAACGGAGAAGCCACCGAGCAGGCTTCACCATTTGATCTCGAACCTGGTCGTGGAACTGGAGAAAGTGTTCTTCTAATTGAAGCCATTTAAACTAATCTAGTCACCCTCAACACACAGGCAGATACTTCGTATTTATCCCTAAAAATCCAATTTTAGAAACACTTGATTTTTCAAAGGAAGACAATCAGATTCTCACTCCAACACTTCTTCTTCAAACAATATCAGTAAAACTACAACCCCAATGCAGCAATCAATCTACAATTTACATCAAACACTAACTTCTCGCATACTTTTCGAAACCACAGCAGCATAAACCATGCCCAAACCCCATTTCCAAACTTTTGGGAGCATAAATTTCCAATTTATCACTTCAAATTTGCCCAACTCATCCAATATCATACCATGAAGATCTAACTCAGATTACATGAAAAACTAAGCAATAGATCGAAATTAGACAGGAAAAATCTAAAACCAAATCAGCAGAAATTCATATCTATCAAAACCCACCAAAAATTAAGCAACACCCAGAATCTTAAATGAGCAGAAAATTCAAAGATTTCAACTTGGGCATGAAATTAAAGCAGAAACATGAATCAGAATTACCACAAAATGTGCTTGAAATCAGCTGCTTTCCGCCAAAATACATTGAGCAGTGAGTAACCCCTTAGTTTTTACTTCATTCAAAGCGGTTTGAGGATGATTTTGGAGGGGAAATGATTGGAAGTGGAAAGGTGAAAGTGTTGAAGATCTCTATTACCCTGTAAAGAGGAGAGAGAGAGTGGGAAATAATATAACATTCATGTTCATATGCCCACAGGGAATCTTCAGTGCAATTTTCCAGCGAGGTATTGTGGGAGTAAATGAAGCAAACCAAAATAGAGTAAATTCGTTTTGGGTTTTTTCTTTATTTAGCACCAGATAGGTTTGCGCAATGATATAATCGGAATTCAATTTTAGGTTTTGGACTGTATTATAGTTGTAATTAAAGGCTCATCAGGTAGTCGATTATAAATGATACAGTACTACATAAATGAATTTAAGTGAAATTTTACCAACTTTAGTCCATAATAATGTAATCTCATTTTAAACTTATACTTTTCTTCTAAACTGTACATTAATAATTTAATAGCCAATGATAGTATACCACCCCAAATGGTAATCAATGGTACTGTGACCGGAAAGAGATAAATTTTGGGAGAATATTATATAGTTCCTCTATTGTGTTAAGCCATTGCAACATTTAGAACTTTACATTATATACGCATTCTCTACTGAGTCTTTGATCAAGAAATGTAATTATGTAAAAATTTGTTACATTTGTCTTGTTATATTATAAGTAACCATAGACATTACAAGTCAAAATTATACTATTATTAAGTGGCATATCTTTTTTTTTTTTTTTTTTTTTTTGAAAGAAGTGGCATATCTATTAATCCCTCGGTCTCCAATTTGCCTCAAACCTAAAAAATCACTTTATTAAGGCTTGGGCAAAAAATGGTGCACATGGGTTGACACAAATATCAATGAGTAGAGAGATAGAGAGAGTTCAAGTGGAAAAACATGCTAAAAGTAGTATGGAGTTATCTTTTAGGGACAACTAATAAAAGCAAGTGAAGCAAACAATTGGAGACGGAGGGAGAAGTTATATGGGAAATCCTTTTGTAAAGCGAGTGGGAAAACAAAAGAAAAAGAAGGATAAGACTTTTAAGAATGAGATTAATCCTATAATAATTTTACTATTTTAGTGATTATCCAAGAAATAAAGGTATAGATCAAAAGTTGCCGTTAAATGGGAAAGCTATGGGTTGGAATATGGTGGATTTGAGCCGTTGATTGTGAATGAAGAATTAAAGACTTGTTTGTGGGTGTGATGACATAATATGGTCAACACATTTTTGAAGAGATGTGCAGGTTGTTTATTTTTCAATGCCATGATTTCATATATATCTCTTGTGATATTGACATGTATAAGAATAAAAGAATATTACTATATTAGTCATATATATATACATATAAGAAATATAAGAATATATATATATATATTTTTTTTTTTTTTTTTTTTTTTTTTTTTTGAGGTATATTAGTCATATATACTTTACTATTCTCCTTTTCTTAAAAAAAAATAAATAAAAAAAAAAAAAAAAAAAAAAAAAAAAAAAACTTTACTATTCTCCTTTTGTTGAATTCAGATGAAATAGTTTCCAAATCTCTAGCATTGAAGGATTTTAAACCTACCTAAGAAAAATGAAATTTGAATGGCATTGATTTTGTTGGAACATTATTGTACGTATATGTACTCGATAAATATTTGGATTTGATTGAAAATTTTACAGTTGTCTTTTGAAAAACGACAACCATAACTTAGATTACATGGCAGATTCTTATTTGTCGAAATTTTTAAGTCATCTTTTCTTTTTGAATTATTTTAAATGCCTAAAATAATTAAAAATAATTTTTAAATTTCAAAAATTAAATATTTTAAGTTTCAAAATTCTATTTTTATTTTATTATTTAACTAATTTAATTATTATTGAAATTAAAAACTAAATCATGGGTTGTAAATTCCCCACCCTTCTTAATATATATTAGGGTTCATCCCCAAAATCCAATCAGATCATCAACCAAATCATGGCGTCAAATTCATTAAAACCTTCATGAAGAACTAACCGATCAATTTCAACAAGTTCGAACACAATTAAGCAAACACAAATTTTTAAAAAAAAACCGGTGTTCATTAATTTAATGAATGGCGGAATTTTTGGACAAGCATCAACTGCCAATTTAGTGGGTTTGGCACGTGCTTCCTAATGATTGCCAAAATAAAGAAAGAAATAGAACTTTTCTCTCTTCATTCATTCACTATAGCTTTCTCTCTCTTCGTTTTTCTCTCTCTAAAAAGCAAGTAACTGGCGATTTCGAGCGTTTTCTCTGTCCTCCATTGTTGATTTTCGAGCTTTTTCTTTCTTCTTTTTCACTGGTGAAGTTGTTATTTGCTTAATTCAGGTTCGTTTACTTATTTTTTTGAGATTTTTGTTAGTTTAAATTGTTTTGATTCTTCGATTTTTAGGTTTTTTGATTTTGATTTTGTTTTCGATTTTCGTTGTTGATTCTGCAATGGTGAAGAAGAAGATTACAAAGAAGGTGTAGATGCTGAAGAAGGTGTGTTTACTTAAATTTTTCATCATTTTTTCAAATTTTTCAATTGAAATTTCGCTTATATATGTCGAATTACTAGTGCATGTTATTTTTTTATAGTTTTCAGTTGATTTTTTATGCAATTATGATAATTGAATTTGAATTATGAAGTTATTATGTTTAATTTTGCTTTATTTTATTGTTCATTGTATATAATTGATTCAAAATTTTTCTTATTATTCTTCAAATTTTGTATGTTAGGTTTTAGTTAGAGAATGCTAATTAAACTGATTATTTGTTTAGGTTTTATGTTTTAGTTAGATTATGTGTATAATAGGCATATTCGCATTGTGTTTGTGCATCTGTGTTTGATTAACATGCATATATGCATTGCTCATTGTGTTTGAGTAATAGACATGTGTGTCATTTATATGTTTTGACAATGTTCACTTTATGATGTTAAAAGGGTGACTTTATGCTGTTAAAAGAGTCACTATATGTTGTTAAATGATTAACTTTTTCAGTTAAGAGGGTCACTTTTTGCAAAAAAAGGGTCACTTTTTGCATATAAAAGGGTCACTTTATGCATACAAAAGGGTCACTTTATGCTGTTAAAAAGGTCACTTTGTGATGTTAAAAGGGTCACTTTGTGATGTTAAAAGGGTCACTTTATGCTGTGAAAAGAGTCAGTGTATGTTGTTAAATGAATAACTTTTTCAGTTAAAAGGGTCACTTTTTGCATATAAAAGGGTCACTTTATGCTGTTAAAGGGCCACTTTATGCTGTTAAAAGGGTCACTTTATACTGTTAAAAGGGTCACTTTGTGATGTTAAAAGGGTCACTTTGTGCTGTTAAAAGGGTTACTTTGTGCTGTTAAAAGGGTCACTTTATGCATTTAAAAGTGTCATTTGTGCACATTATTCTATATTTTTCCATGAGTAATTTCTGAATTTGTATTTATATTACTTTAATAATTAAATACAGGTGGTTCAATAGGTGGTTATCGTTATAAAAAGCCTACAAAAGGAAAAGGAAAGCCTAAAGAGCCTGCTAAGCCTAAACCAGTACCAAAAAAGACCCAGATAGCTCCTGAGAAGAGCAAAGCAGTATCTAAAAAGGCTGGGAAAATTCCTGAGAGTGACAAACCAGAGTCTGAAAAGGCCAAAATAGTTCCTAAGAAGGCCAAAATTGTACCTAAGAAAGCTAATACAGTGGAAGATTCTGATTATGAAATGCTTTCTGAATCTGATTCTGAATCTGTTATGTAAGTATACATATTTTTTTATTACTTTTTTAATTATATTTTGTTTTTATTTTATATTGTTTTAGTTACATTTTCTTTCTTTTTTTTTTCTATTTAGGGAGCAAAGAAGAACCATTGCAAGATGTAGACCCTATTCATTGGAAATATTGCTGCAGAACTTTAGTCCTGAGCAAAAACAGGCTGTTGAAGAAATTGGTTTTGGAGGTTTATTACATCTTAAATTGAAAACTCTTAATCGTCAAATGCTACCTTGGCTTGTTGAAAACTTCAATGCTGGTAGCTGCATGTTTACCATCGTTACTGGTAAAGAATTTGTTGTTACTAGAAATGATATATGCGATGTGTTTTGCTTGCCTTTGAGTGATATTTGTGTTCCTGAACTTAATAAAAATTCTGAAGATGAAAGTGTAGATAAACGTATCATTCAGGCATTGAGATCTGATTATGGTCTTTCTGGTAAGCAACCTCTTCATTTGTCAAAATTGGAGTCTAGGATGGTTGATTTGGTTGATGGAGGGGAAGAATTTAAGAGGTGTTTTGTTCTTCAAGCTATGTCTAGCTTTTTAGCTCCTACTACTAATAGGACTGTTTATTGAAGTTGCTGAAAGCCGTTGAAAAAGTTGATGAAATTAAAACTTTTGATTGGTGTTCATATGTTTTAAAAAAGTTAAAGAAGGCTGTTCAGAAGTATAAGGATGATGAAAATGCTCAAAATGTTAGTGGTTGTTTGTTGGCTTTGCAAATTATGTATTTTCATCGTCTAAATTTTCAAGGTGAAAAGGAAAGTAGTACTCTTCCTTTAATTCAACATTGGACGGATGTAAAGATTAAGAAGCAAATTAAGTTAGAGATCAAAGCTGGTGGTTATGGGCAGGGACCATTGGATACTATTACATATCCTGTGTCACAGCTTAATTTTAGGGGAACTGTTTTTAAGCCAGCTCCTACTTTGGGTTATGGTAAGGGTCCTTCTACAAGTGGTACCACTGGTCGCATTGTTGCATTTGAGCTTCCAGAAGGTATTATGACCGATGAAGAAATTAAAAAAATTTCAACTGATGTAAGTGTTCTGTTTTCTTATATGTTTAGTTTAATGGAATTAGATTTCCTACTTATTTTATTATTTTTATTTGTAACATTTTTTTTTCATTGTTCATATGTTTGTAGGTTGTTCATGAAACGTTTCTTTTGTTTAAAAGAAATATGGATGTTTTATTATTTGTTCAGTCAACTGGTTTTCAAACCTTGAATGATCTGATTACTTCTCGCAGAAGTGTTTCATTATCTTCTGATGATTTTGTTTCAGTTTCTCAAACTGAACTGCTACTCTCTGATCCTCATTATTTGAAGATCTTAGATGGTTTAATTGATGAGTGTAATAAAATGAAGTCTGTACATGATATGTTTCGCGGTTTTTATGAACCTACAGAAGGTAACAAAGATTTTGTTCCTGAAAAAGAACCTGCACAAGATTTCAATGAAAATATTCCTAAGGATGATGACAATGGTCATGGAAAAATAGTTAATGAAGGCCTTAATGGTTCTGGACCTTCTGCTATCATTCCTGGTCCTACTCAAAATATTCCTGTCGGGCATATTGATCAAAATGAACCTCCTCGACTCAGAGCAAATAAATCTCTATGCTCTCTGGACTGTGGACATGTAGGTGTGCAGGTGCCTTTTGTAACTCTTTTTGTAAAGAGCAATGCTCGGATTTTCAAGAATTTGCCTCAGTTACATTTGGAAATTCTCGATTATTGTTTGCTGAAGGATGTTTCAATGGATAAGAAGTTAAGTGTCCTTTTTTATTATAATTATTTTTTTATCTGTTTTTTTCTTATATTTTTTTTTAATGTTGATCTTATTTTTTATTGTTTCAGTGAGAGCCTTGTTACTTTTGGAATGAACTTTTTAATTCCAAGAGAAGACATGGTGTCCCTTGTTGCTCCACTCAGGATTCAATGGTGCGTTATTGATTGCTTCTGTCTGTATTTGAATGAGAAAGCATGTTTTCAGGCTACTGGTCCTCGGAAATTCTTCTTCGGTGTTAGGCAGAGTGTAAGTTATTTCATTCCTTTTTTTATATCTTAACACATTTACTTTATATATATATTATTGAGATCTTATACTTTAATAGTTTTCATTCTTGCATGTTTGTGACAATATTGGCAAAGGTAACATATCTAGTGCTGTTAAGGATTTGCACGACATATGGGAAGGTTGGGTTAGCTATGAGAATCCAGAATGTAATATAATGGATGCTGATCTGGTATTTTTATTCTAAACTTAATGTAATAAATTTAAAAGAGTTCTCTTTATGATATGCTCTGTTTAAATCTCTTTAATTTTGCTGTTTCAGATCTATTTTCCTGTTCTTATTGAGAATCACTACATTTTGTATGTTATTGATCATACAAAAGAGTTGGTATATTATCTTGACAACATTATCTGGACTGATTCTGCTCTTGTTTATACAAAAGAATTGTGTTCAAAGATGGTATGTTTACGTTTGTTTTTTTTGTTATGTTACTGTTGATTCATTGTTTCCATTTTAACTTTTTTGATTTTAATGTATTCTAAACTTTTATATTTTATGTCAGTGTGTTCAAATGGGTGCTTTTCTTGGCAAAAGAAATCATCCAAAGAGTTCTCAGCTACCTTCTTATGGTTTTGAAGTTGTTGAGTTGGAATGGAGAAAAGAAAAAGTTGACAATTTGGACTGTGGGGTCTTTGTCATGTATCACATGCTCCATTTTGTTGGTGAATCGTTCAAATTCAATGATCTCAAAACAGTAATTATCTATATAGTTTCTGTAGTTTTTTCCTTTCTATTGCTTTTATTAATTACATATTGATAATTTTTATTTTTTTTGCTGATTTGAGATTAATGGAAGGAAATTTTTACGAGGAGAGATCTGTACCACACTGGTACTGTGTGATTTGAATGAATCTAGGAACGATGTGTTGTTAAAATTACACAAGTTCAATGAGAAGAAGAAAGATCCTGCTTATGTCAATGGAATTGAAGAAAGATTAAAGGCTGCAATTGCTGCAAAGAAGAAAAGAGAAACAGAAGAAAGAAAAATGGCAGCAGAAGCAGAAGCAAAGGCAGAGGGAGAAGAGGAAAAGAACAAAGGAAAAAGGGCAAAAAAGCAAGCAAAAAAGTTTACTCCTTCTAAATAGTGAAATAATTGATAGTTGTTAGCTGATTAGTTCAGGGGGTTTTTTTAACAATGAAAAAACTTAATGTATGTGCATACATTAAGTTTAATGATGTAATTAAACTTAGTTTAAAGTCTTTAGTTGTTTTTGGAATACTGATGTATGTGAATACATAAAGTAATTAAAAGGTTTATTTTTATGTTTTTTATGGGGTAACTTTTATGCAGAAAAGGGTAACTTTTATTTATAGAAAGGGTAACTTTTATTTATAGAAAGGGTAACTTTTAAGCAAGAAAAAGGTAGATTTTATTGTTAGAAATGGTAATTTTAGCAATGAAAAGGGTCACTTTTATGTAGAAAAAGGGTCACTTTTTTCTGTAAAATAAAAGGGTCAGGGGTTTTATGCATGAAAAGGATAACTTTTAGTGATAAAAAGGGTAACTTTTATTAACAGAAAGGGTAACTATTAGAAAAGAAAAGGTTGATTTAGTGGATAGAAAGGATAAAAAGGGTTACTTTTGTGGGTAGAAATAATAAGTTTATACATGATAAGGTATACTTTTGTGGGTAGATAGTGTAACTTTTATGCATGGAAAGGGTAACTTTTATTGATAAAAGGGTTAACTTTTATTAACAGAAAGGGTAACTATTGCCAAAGAAAAGGTTGATTTAGTGGATAGAAAGGATAACTTTTATGCATGAAAAGGGTTACTTTTATGCATGAAAAGGGTTACTTTTATGCATGAAAAGGGTTACTTTTATACGTTAAAAGGGTAACATAAGTTGATGTGTTCCAATAATTAAACATGTGCTAATAAAAGTGTCAATCACATTTTCATTAAACTAGTCATAGAGTAAAAAAACAAAAGAAAAATAGTTTAACAATACAAGGTATATTAATTTCGAAAAAAAAAATGTTCTAAAAAAAGATCTTAAAAGAGTCGTAAGTTAGGTGTCTTTGATCCAAATTCTGAATTTGGAGGTGGCAGTGCTGGTTTTCTTTTTCTCTTGCTTTTTTCAAGTCCTCCTTTTGCTCTCTTGCTTCTTCCTTTTGTTACAACCCTTTTAGGATCAAGAATTATTGGTACACATGTGCTTGTACTCGATGCTGAAGAAGCGTCAGTATTGCTTTGAGTGTTGTCTGCCACATCAGGAATGTTAGAAGCAGCTTCTGCACTTTCTTTCTGAGCAGCACTAGCAAGTAAGTCTTCCACCATTTTAAGACTGTTTCTGAAGCTTTCTTCCATAAATGCTCTTGTCTCTTCATTTTCTTGACTTTTTAAGATTAGATTGTAGTATTTCCTCATCATTGTTTGCCTCCATGGAATATATTGCTGTTTAGGATCCTGATTCTTCAACCTATCCCATGCCTCTGTTTTTGCAAACTTAGTCCATCTTTTTGAAACATACTTCTGGTATTCTTGTTACTGAATGCAAATGTAGAATTCTGATGCAATGATAACATAACCATTCAGATGCTTCAAAGTTTTTGCAAGTACACCATACAGTTTGGCTCTCTTGTATATAGTTTACTTGATGTGCAGACCATGGCTTGTCTTCTAGTGTTACTTGATAAAGTAGGAATTCTTCATTACTGCCTAACATCTGAACAGTTGTTGCCATAGAGTATCCAAACTCCTCTTCAAAATTTCTAAAGAGTGATAAAGTGAAAACCTGTACATCAAAATCATGTAGCTTCATTTAAATTGCCATATATTAGGTGTAATTTATGTACTTGTCAGTTAACTTTTTACCTGTGCAGCATGCTTTAGCATTCCAGATAGAGGCAATGAAGTGAATGCTATTGACTTGCTACAGGTAAACTCATCATATTTCTCTGTGCTTCTCCAACGATTAGTTGTCTTCTTAAATATGGTATAAAATTCTGTCAAAGTAGTTGCTTTACTTGCTCTGAATCCTATGGCATGATTAGTGCTTTCACTCCTTTGTGACGATAAGATCCCTGCTGAAAAGAAATCTCTACAAAGGACAGGACACCATTTGTCTTTCAACTCATACACTCTTTTGTACCAAGAGTGTTCTGTCAACTCATATTTTTGCAACATTGCTTGCCACTTTGCTTCGAATTCTTGTTCTGTCACACACATCTTTAAGCACTGGTTGAATGCAAATTTGAATTCTTTGTCTGTTTTAAGAGCTCCAAATCTGGTTATGGCATTTTGCTCCAAATGCCATATACAAAGTCTATGTCTTGTATTAGGAATCACCTGCATTGAAAATAAAGGGGTCACTTTATGCTGTTAAAAGGGTTACTTTATGCACTAAAAAGGGTAACTTTATGCAGCTAAAAGGGTAACTTTATGTGAAAAAGGAAAACTTTATTGTCATAGCTCAAATCTGTAAGATGTCAATATAAATCTTTTACCTCCAGTATAGCATTTGCCATTGCTTGGTCCTGGTCAGTGAATATTGAAGTTGGTTTTCTATCCTCCATAACTTTGAAGAAGGTTTGTAGTAACCACACAAATGAATCTGTCGTTTCATCCCCAATAAAAGCACAAGCAAACATACAATTATGCCAGTGGTTATTTATGCCAACAAATGGAGCACATATAAGATTATATTTGTTGGTTCTGTATGTTGTATCAAAGACAAGAACATCTCCATATATCCTATAGTCTTCTAGCATCATTGAATCTCTCCAAAAGATATTGCAAATTCTTCCTTCTTTGTCAAACTTCACTCTAAAAAAGAAGTTTGGATCCTCTGATTGTTCCTGACTTAAAATGTTCACTAAAGTTTGAGCATCTCCAGCCTCAATTTGTTCCATTCTTAACCTTGAGCAGAAATTCAGGTGATCTACAACACTATGGCCTATATTCTGTTCTCCTCCAGCCTCTGTAGCCATGTAATTGTAAGTGTCCATTGTAGTTAGACCTGAAGATTTCATTGTTTTGATTGTTACAACTATTTCCTCTGTCATTTTTCTTTCAGAACGATGCAAATAATGCCACTGTGGCTTTGTTAGCTCGTGGTTATGCTGAATAACATGAGCCACCACCTCAAACTGTCCTTCTTTATTCACTTTTGCTCTTATGCATGCCTTGCAATTTGATCTTGTAATGGATACTTGTCTTGGCTTTCTTGTTTTTACATTTACATCCTCTTCATCAACCATTTCAACTAACTTTGTTTTCTTCTGACCTGAATGTCTCTTTCCCTCAGCAGAACACACATAATTTTTCTCAGTTACTATTTTTGTGTGTTGTTTGAATCTAGTTGTATGTTTTCTTATTGAAAACCCCAGTATAGCAGCATGTTTTTCATACAATTCCAAAATTTCTTCAAAAGTTTCTCTTACCACACCAGCAAATGATCCTCTAAGATCTAAACCATAAGCATCAATTGGATTTGTATCTGTTATGTAATACAAACAAATCAGATAATAACCACAGACAGCATAAAAAAAAGGGTAACATTCGTTTGAAAATAGGGTAACTTTTATGCATGAAAAAGGTAACATTTAGGCATTGAAAGGGTTACTTTTTGCATACAATCTGAGTGTAACATTTGAGCATAAATAGGGTAACTTTTATGCATGAAAAAGGTAACATTTAGGTATTCAAAGGGTTACTTTTTGAATACAATCTGAATTTTCAGCATACAATCTGAGTGTAACATTTGAGCATAAATAGGGTCACTTTTAAGCATGAAAAGGGTAACATTTAGGCATTCAAAGGGTTACTTTTTGCATGCAATCTAAAAAGTTCTGCATTCAATCTGAGGGTAACATTTAGGCATAAGTATGGTCACGTTTATGCATGAAAAGGGTAACAATTATGTATTCAAAGGGTTACTTTTTGCATACAATCTCAAAAATTCGTAGAAATTACCTTCAGTTGCATCTGATTTGGTTGTTTGTTCTGAATTTGAATCAATTGATTTATCAGGAACCACTTGATTTTCTGCATTATGAATTGCGTCTTCTGCATTCTCAATTGCTTCATCTGCATTATCGATTGCTTCATCTGCATTGTCTGGATTGTTGAATATTGGTACGAATTCATCTCCAAAACAATTAGTTTCTTCTTCTTCTATAATCGAACGATTTAAATCGATTTCAAATTCAGTCTCAATTTGCCTCTGTTTTTGTAGCAATTCGTGAATGAGATTGCTGCAATTTGTTGTATCGAAAGTCGAATTCTCCATTGATGATCGAATTCTGTAATTTGTAAGTTTTCTCACTTTCTTTGTCCTTAATTGATGATCGAATTCTTCTATTTGTGCGTTTTCTCACCTTTTTTCTCCTCGATTGATGATCGATTTCTGCAATTTTTGCGTTTTCTAACCTTTTTTCTCCTCGATTGATGTTCGTTTTCTGCAATTTTTGCGATTTCTCACTTTCTCTCTCCTCAATGGATGATTGATAGCTGCGTTTTCTCACTTTCTCTCTCCTCCATGTTGTTCTGCGTTTTTTTTTATTTTTAGGTATTTGAAATTCTGCGATTTTTTTTTTTAAAAAAAAGCACGTGCGAAAACCTGATGTATAGTAAAAATACTGTACACCGGGTAGATGCAAATGGGTTTGTTAAACAAAAAGCAAATATTCGAATCAGCAATTAAATCCCTCCTCCTACATTCCTACTCCACTTGTTCTTCACTAACCCAGAAACTCTTCTACGACGTCGTCAGCCGCGTTGCCACCATAACCGCACTCGAAATTCCAACCCAGATTTCGTTCAAACCCAATTTTCGACCAAATTGACAAGTATCATGAAGAAACTGCATCGCTCTAATAGATGATAGTATAGACGTACGATTTGGTGATCTTATAAACGAATTTCAAATTTTCGGCAATTTATCATGTTTCATGGATGAACAAGTTGAGCAACCTTTTAATTTTAATTTTAATTTTCTGATTTTAGTTTTTTTTTCAATAATAATTAAATTAATGAATTAGTAAAATAAAAAATAATTTTTAAAAAATGATTTTTAATTAATTTAGGCATTTAAAAATAATTTTAAAATTAGCCAATAAGAATGTGCTACATGTCAAAGTTATGGTTGTCATTTTTCAAATGACTACCATAAAATCATCCAGTTTTGATAGATGCGGATGTGTTTTTATCAAGTATTAATCGTATTTTGGACTTCAAATGCAAAAGCAAGACCAAAAAACACAAAAAATTAATATAGTTCATTGACAATGTTTTCGTTAGGTCCATCATGCAAAAGAAATGAGTATTATAAATTGATCTTGTGGAAACTCATTAAGGAATTTGGATAGATTAAGGAATGAAGAGTCTATATGCTACGCTCCAAAACAAAAATGAGATAGACTCGTAAAATATACTTGAATACAACTTGTAGCTCAGTATAACATGTACCACAGATTTCAATTTTCACCCTAACTCACCAACTCGTGCTACATTACTTGAAACAAAAGTCTAATCCACATGTTTATCATTGTTATTTAACTGCAAATTCAATGTACATTGTTTTCCACAAAGTTTTATATATTAGTATATAGGAATTTTACAATGGGATATGTTAATAGTAATTGAATAAAGGATTTTTAGGAAATTTTGCAAAATAACACCACAAAATAGTCAAAAAATGGATTATAATATCACACAATTTTAAACTTTAATAATAACACCACAAAAAAAAATCCAGAAATTGGATTTCACCACCACTTAACCGGATTTTTTTTGATGGAATCCATTAGTGAGACCTACTATATATATATGGACACGTGTCAACAAGGCATTGGATTAAAATTAAGATAAATAAAAATGAAAAAAAGAAAAAACCCTAAACCCTAACCCAGCCACTAGCCCACCAATGGCCACCCTAACCCCCACTGTCAGCACACCCCACTGCCGCCATAGCCACCACCAGCCCTCACTCGGTCACCCCACCCTCCTCAACCAGCCCCGACAAACCCCATCGACCACCAGCTTCCTCGAAACCCCCACCCCATCCTTCCCCCACCCGTGCCGTTCGACCCCCAGCCGCAACTCCCTAAACCCTAACCACCACCAAAAACGGCCACTAACGATTGAGAACGGGCGATTTAGGGCCTGAGTGGTCAAATTTTACCCTAAGTCGGTCGATTTCGACCGCTAGTTGCTAATTTTGTTTTGGGGAGTAAGAAAAACGGTGATAGGCTAGTGGCTATCGGTTTTGAGTGGGAAAGGGAGGAGGGTTCCAGTGGCTATCGATTTTGAGTAGGGGAAAGGGAGGAGGGTTTCGGTGGCCGTTGGTGTGTCCGACGTGGTGCAGGTTCCGATGGCTGTGGGTGTGTCGGAAATAGGGGAGTTCCGACAGGGAAAAGGGTGACAGGTGGTGGGGACGGGTGGTTGAGGTTAATTTTGGGGTTTTTTTTCTTTTTAAAATTTTTCTTTTTTTAATCAATAATATAGTGACACGTGGCAGCGTGGACCCCACTTAACGGATTCCATCCAAAAATCCGTTAAGTGGCGGTGAAATTCAATTTTTGGGTTTTTTTTTGTGGTGTTATAATAAAAGTTTTAGATTTTGTGGTGTTATAATCAATTTTTTGACAATTTTGTGGTGTTATAAGTCAAAAACTCCTAAATTTTAATGATATCTTGAATAATTTAAATTCAAATGTTGGAAGAATGACCATCAAATTAAACTTCAACTATGTCTAAACAAACACTTATTAGACTATAGCCTTGTTTTATTTGGACTTACTTTAAGTTTAGTTCAGTTTAATTTAGCTTACCTTAATTAATTATTCTACTTCACACGAGTATAGCTCAAATTTAGTTTAAAAGAACGTGGCCTATATCTCACTTACACATGCTAGTTTGTGCAGACTTTCATTGACACATCTACTTTGACATAACTTTCATTGGACATTTACTTTGGCATCAATTCTCTCATATAGAATAAAGTCAGTAAACAATTATAAACTTGTAACAACAAAATCATTAAAACAATTTAATAAGGGACCCATACCTGCGGGTATATGGAGTATTCGTTTTTGTGAATTGAAAGTAGAGACATGAAGAGTACAAAAACTAAGAATAACGGGATGAAAGGGAAAAGCGAGTAGAGTATAGAAAAACAAATTTTCAATAACAAGGATTACGAATCATATCAGTCAGCTTAAAAATGATATACACCAAAGTATTAAAATCTGTATTTTCAATTATTACGAAGTATATACATACATAATTGAGTAATCAGTACCGAAATTGGTACCCAATAGCTTTCGAATTTGGATCCAGTCCAACTGATTTTGGAATCCCTTAGCTTATTTCAAAAGAAACCATTATAACAAAATCTTATGGCCACAACTTCCACTTCCTCAACCTAATCTCCCTTCTCTACCTTGTCTAGCTCTCTAACAAAGCTTTATTCGAAGATCATCCAATATTAAGATTTAAAGTATTCGGTAAACCGAAGTTAATAATTATTATAAAGTAAATAATTATTAATAATTATTTACTTCTAATTCATAATAAAGTATTCGGTGAACCGAAGTTAAAACCCATAACTAAAACCCTATTTTATAATTTCGTGATAACTTATTGAGTTAAATACAAGTATAATACAATATTACACCTGAATATTCGATGTATATTCATACTATACTAGGTTAAGTAATTTACCGATCAACACAACTCGGGATAGCAGGCTCGACAATTTGAGAATCGAGAGATAAAGTTTTCCCTTTCATCTCATGTGCACCCGATAAAATATCATAATTTGATTCTCCATATAACAACACAGCTGAAAAACGAGTCTTAAACATCTCTCCTTCAGAGTGTTGAACCCCAATCAGATCTCTACCTCTATTTTCTCTCTCCTTGAGAGCTTTCAACGCTCAGCTACTCGCCATGGCAATGGCGATTAGGGTTTCTCTTCTCTTCTTCCTCTTCCTTTCTTCTTCCTTACTCGTTTTCTCTCTCTACGAAGATCAAGCAGGTCTCGCTGACTGGTAATTTTGATTTCTCTTTCCTAATTCAATTCATTCAACTCAGTTTTCATCTTGTTTCAATTTTTCTGAATTTCATGGTGTTTTTTTCGCATTAATCGCAGGCATCAGCAATACTTAGGGAAAGTAAAGCAAGCAGTTTTCCATACTCCGAAAGCGGGGAGGAAGAGGCTTGTAGTGTCCACTGAAGAGAGTGTTATCGCATCTCTTGATCTTCGCCGCGGCGAGATTTGTAAGTTGTTTGGAATTGATTGAATTGTGATATTGTATTGAATGGTTAAAAGTTAGATTTTGTTTTGATTTTGATTGGTGATTTTGTTGTTAGTTTGGAGGCATGTTCTTGGGGAGAATGATCGAATTGATCACATTGATATCGCCCTTGGGAAATGTAAGTGTTTCGCTGTTGTATTCGATTCGGTTGAGCTTTTTTGTGATGCAATTTCTGGATTATTAGTTGTGAGTAAGTTGATTGGAATTGCAATTTAATTGGAATATTTTGAGTTTTATGATGTTGACTATTGTATTTATATTGTAGTAGATGTGCAATGAGTTAACTAGAAGATATCTTAAACCCTGTAGTAAGTGATTTTGTGATCGAACGTGAATTTACTGTGCTGTGGATGTTGACTTTGAACTTCTTGTCTTTTGGGCTGAATTTTAGGGTTTTATTATTTTGGAATTCTAGTTTGTATATTTGTAAGTGATCAGATTGTGCAACCTTTTTGATTTGTCGAGAGATGATCGGCACATAGAGAGTAAACACAGAGTCCAACTTTTTTGCAAGAACTTTGGAAGGTGGACTCTCTTAGTCCATTCTCTGAGATGGGTTGAGTGTTTACTATTTTTAGTGGGTGACAGTGAATGTTCTATTGGTAATACACTGCAAAAAAAATTAAAAGAAAAAAAGCTAGGAAGATTGTATTATGTTGCTGATATCAAACAGGAACAACAATCGTTAACATATGTATTTCTGTTTTAATTTTTGTCCAGATGTGATTACACTCTCATCAAAGGGAAGTATCATTAGAGCATGGAATCTTCCCGATGGGCAGATGGTGTGGGAGTCATTCCTTGTTGGCAAGAAATTATCAGAATCTTCATTGTTGACAGTGGTTGGTCATAACATTTCCTCATTATATAATGTTGTAGATTTAACTTCTGCTGTCTGCTATAGCCGCTGAATTGTGTCCATTGTGTTCTTGATTTTCTAGCTTAATGATCTTGGCTGAAATATCTGGTAACATCAAAGTTTCTCCGTTTCGTGTAGCATTTCGATTGGTTTTGTTTATCTTTACTGCCCCAAAAATTTTGGTATTTTTGCACATGAACATATCATATAGCCATCTAATAACATTTACTTGATTCTGTCATGCAGACTGATTTGAAGGTGGAGCGTGATAATTTAATCCTTGTTTATAGTAATGATTGCCTTCATGCAATTTCAAGTGTAGATGGTGCAGTCCTCTGGAATATTGAACTTAAAAGGTTGAATTTTTTATCTAGTTTAGTTTCTATGCCTTAATTGTCCAAAAGCTAATGTTCTTAACTTCATATTTTATATGCCAACTTTTCTTGCCAGTGTGGAGCTTCAACAATTAATCAAGCCTGTTAGTGGTGATGTCATGTATGCTGTAGGAATTTCAGGCTCCTCTAAGTTACATGCCTATAGATTCAATATCAAGACCGGTGAGTTACTAAATCAAGATGTTGTAGACTTTCCTGGTGGACTCTCTGGTGAAATATCTCTCGTCTCTAGTGAAATCTTAGTAGCTCTGGATGCAAGTCGCACAGAACTGGTACTAATAAGCTTAAAAGATGGGAAAATCAGTTTCCAGAAGACAAATATTCATGATCTTGTTCCTCAATTTTCTGGGGAAGCGGCTTTGTTACCCGTTAACCTGGAAGGGATATTTGCTGTAAAGAGCAATTCTTATATAGTATTTTTGAGAGTAAATGACCAAAGCAAGCTTGAGGTTGTGGACAAAATTGAGGATTCTTCTGCTGTTAGTGGTGCTCTTTCATTCAAAGAAGATCAGCTAGCTTTTGGAATTGTTCAACAAGGGGGTAGTCAAATTCATCTCACAGTGAAGCTTGGTAGTGATTATAGTACCGATATTTTGAAAGAAAGCATCCAGATTGATCCTAATCGAGGGACTGTTCAGAAGGTTTTCATTAATAATTATATCCGTGCCGACAGATCTTATGGGTTTAGAGCATTAGTTGTGATGGAAGATCACTCTGTATCATTATTGCAACAAGGTAATATTGTTTGGAGTAGGGAAGATGGGCTTGCTTCAATTGTAGATGTCACGACTTCGGAACTCCCCCTAGAAAAGAAAGGTGTGTCAGTTGCCAAAGTCGAGCAGGGTCTTCTTGAGTGGCTGAAGGTATGCATTTTATTGTTGGTTTATTTTTATAATTGAGAGCTAGGCGCGGCAGTAAATAATTAGTTGTGTGATTTAATCTTGTAAATGGTCATTGCATATATAATCATTCCAGGGTTTAGTCTTTATTGCTTTTGCACTATTGCTAAGTCTGCAATACCACAAGTGTCTAGTGCTGCATGTTTGAATAACTTTGCTTTAAATGACTTATTTTGACATCAACTCACTCAGTAATCAAATCACACTAGTTTTATTTCTGTTAGATTGTCTTCCCCTTTTTTTTTTTTTTTTTTTTTTTTTTTTTGGGGGTGGGGGGTGGGGATGGTGTCTACATGAAAGGGCCCATTTCAAAAAGTGACCGTCCCCTTATCCCCTCCTCATTGGCAACCAAAAAAGTGAATATATCATGAATGACAGTATTTGTGACAAAATGATTGTTTTATATATCTTCTTCCTCTCCTAAAGAGAAGCCTTTGTGAATGAAGGCCTTTTATTTTTGGTTTGAAAATGGACTTTGAGAAATAAGTATGCTATTTACCGGTCTCATCAACCAACTTGCCAGGAGACTGCATTGGCTTTCTGTTGTTCCACAATTCTTGCGGCAGGCAAGTCTTATACGGAATTTTCTACATTTGTGTTATTTAGCTGATTAACTTACATGACACAGGGACACATGTTGAAGCTTAAAGGTACTCTGATGCTTGCAAGCGCTGAAGATATGGTTTCCATCCAGGCATTGAGGTTACAAAGTTCCGAGAAAAGCAAATTGACCCGAGATCATAATGGTTTCAGGAAGTTGCTAATAGTGCTGACTAAATCTGGGAAAGTTTATGCATTGCACACTGGAGATGGAAGAGTTGTTTGGTCTACTTTTCTGCCTAACTTGCGCAAGTCTGATACATGTGAAAATCCTGTAGCTCTTAATCTGTACCAGTGGCAGGTTCCTCATCATCATGCTATGGATGAGAATCCAGCTGTTCTTGTTGTTGGCCGCTGTGGGAATGGAATTGATGCACCTGGCATTCTTTCAATTGTTGATACCTACTCAGGGAAGGAGCTTAGCTCTCTGAGCTTGACTCATTCTGTTGTTGATGTCATTCCATTGCCATTTGCTGATTCAACAGAAAAGCGTCTTCATTTAATAGTAGATGTAGATAGAAATCTGCATTTATACCCTAAGACTCCTGAAGCTGCTGTCATATTTGAGCGTGAGTATATTAATGTGTACTGGTACTCTGTTGATGCTGAAAATAACATGTTGAGAGGACATGGATTAAAGAGCAAATGTATGAGCGAGATAGCTGATGAATTTTGCTTCAGCTCAAGGGATTTGTGGTCGATTGTATTCCCTTCGGACTCGGAAAAGATAATTGCTACCGTTGCTAGGAAAGCAAGTGAGGTATGGTTTTCGTATATATTTTATTATTTTTTCGATTGGAAGGAGGGGATTGAATGTTGGTTTGATCTTTGTAGGAATTTTTATTCGGTAAATGTATATTGTGTTGCTCGTCTGATATGGATTCTAAAAAATGTTTGCTCTTCTGTAGGTGGTACACACTCAAGCTAAAGTAATGGCAGATCGAAATGTGCTATTCAAATATATTTCCAAAAATTTGTTATTTGTTGCTACTGTTGCACCCAAAGGTGCTGGTGAAATTGGATCAGTGACCCCAGATGAGTCATGGTTGGTTGTGTACCTTATAGATACCGTGACTGGGCGGATATTACACCGCGTGACGCATCATGGCTCACAGGGTCCTGTTCGTGCAGTAAGTTGAATACAGATTTTTCCTCCCTATGACATTAGTTCTCTTAGAGTCTTAGTAATGTCAAACCTCTGTTCTTATATGCCTCTTTTTTTTTTTTTTTTTGGCTGTATCCTCTTGAAGGTTTTCAGTGAGAACTGGGTTGTCTACCACTATTTTAATCTCAGGGCTAACCGATATGAAATTTCAGTGATTGAAATCTATGATCAATCCCGAGCGGTATTATTTCAAACTTTTATAAGTGCTTATTGTATATGCAATTTCAATCGGCTTATATGAGTTATATACTTATACGACCCATTCATGTTTTCTGATATTCTTTATATATTCAGGACATCAAGAATGTTTGGAAGCTCATTCTTGGGAAGCATAATCTTACCTCACCAGTTTCATCATACTCTCGACCAGAAATTATGACAAAATCGCAAACTTACTTTTTCACCCATTCTGTGAAGACAGTATCCGTAACATTGACTGCTAAAGGAATAACAGCAAAACAACTTCTAATAGGAACTGTTGGCGATCAGGTTAGGCTCGGTGTTACGTGCTATTAAGGCTCTAACAACTGCTGTGGGCTAATTATGTTGATTTTGTGCTATATCTTCAATAGGTTTTGGCTCTTGACAAGCGCTTTCTTGACCCTCGTCGGTCTGCAAAACCAACCCCAACTGAATTGGAAGATGGAATTATACCTCTTACAGATGCGTTGCCAATCAATCCACAGGTATATCATAGGCAATTGGTTGATTGCTTTTTTTATTTTTGCATATAGTATACCACATTGATGCATGAAGCCCCAAATCCCTTTAGATGTGTGATTGAATTGAGAATTTGGAGGGGAGGGACTGGGGAAATAAAGAAGGCAATAGACAAGGACTTCATTTTCCCTCGTTGGATACAAAAAATGGGAAGAAAATTGAAGGGGGCCATTTTCCTCCCATTTAATAAACCAAATACTCGAAAGATAATACAAGTCCATTCCTTCCCCTGCCTCACTTTCACTCTTCTTTCTTTTGCACTTTGATTTGAATTTCTAATGCTGCTGTAGAATTATGTTGTACTCGTATAAGATAATAAGGCTGAGTGCCCTGTAGATTTTTGTTTATGGAAGCTAAATTAACAAAAATTGTCCCCCCCCCCCCCTCCAACACACTCAAGCCCCTATCCCAATTTGCTGATGCTCAAACTCGTATAACTATCAGGATTTAATTGCAGACATGCAGGAGCCTTTTGTAGTGTATCTGTCCCATTTTTGCTAGTCATTTACACTGAATTATATATAGGGGTTTCTCATGTATCTTATAATGCTGTTTTGCAGTCTTATGTGACACATGCACTCAAAGTGGAAGGTCTTAGAGGCATAATTTCTGTACCTGCCAAGCTAGAGTCCACTACCCTCGTCTTTGCGTATGGAGCTGATTTGTATTTAACCCGACTTGCTCCCTCAAAAACTTACGACTCCCTGACAGACGAGTTCAGCTATGCATTACTTCTCTTAACCATAGTTGTGCTTGTGGCAGCAATCTTTGTCACCTGGATCATGTCTGAGCGCAAAGACTTGAGAGATAAGTGGAGGTGATTTCCCCATGTCACACTTTACATTTTGCATTCTTTAAACAGCGTTTTCTCCTGTAACTTTTAACAAATTTTGTAGCATTATATTCTCGAGGTAGCCCATTGTCGTTGTAAATCTAGAAGCACTGGAGGGTATTTTCACATTATAAGATTTTACTCACACAGTTGAACCAAATTGTAGTTAGAATCACTATCTTGTTTTTGACATCAAAATTCATTAGTTGACACTAGCTAGAGTTTATCCTATGTTTACAATTTGCAATGTGGAATGCTCTATTTTCGGTTGCCATTATCTTGTTTGAGCAATTTGCTCAATAATTGGCCAATCTTCTAGTTCAAGGCTGTCTAACAATTATGATATGGAGTACTTCTTATATGATTTTTTTAGCTAATTAAGGATGACTATAATTGTGAATTTATTTGCTAATACAGAGTAAATGATTTGTCCAGTCAATGTCGTTCTATAAAATGTTTGGTTGGATTTGTTAATTGGCTTTAAAATGACATTTCATGACATGATTTTTTGTGCGGAATATCTTTATTCAGATTTTGCAAGCAACTTTGACTAGTCTAATGCAAGCTCCTTTCAATTCCCAAAATTACCATCCCTTGGTAAAATTCTATACCATTTACCCAAAACTCTCCTCCATTACCATCACAACCTTTGAACTGCCTGGCCCAGCGTCCCGTCTCTCTTTATCAAGCACGACCTTAGAATGGCACCTTATGAAAAGGGCAGGAAGGTGTATGCCTTATTCAAAGGCGGTACATAATCCGTGGCAATCCTTAGTGTACCATTTCAATTAAGTGAACTAATCAAGGACACTATAAGCATCATCCTAGAGTTGGTAAGATTTTACAAAATTCCCGTCAGCACGAGTCTAGGGATCTGTTAAAATACCTTATCGATCTCAACTGATTAGCTAGCAGTACAGTCGTATACATCTAAAATTCATGTAGAGCTTGCACATGGAGGACTAGTAGTATTGTACTATTGTGAACTAGCCACCCACATAAAATGAGGGGAAAGAAAACTTGCACCTTTTTGTTATGCAAGAGATAACCTTAATAAATTACTAGGGGTGGGACTTTTCAAACCGAACCGTAAAACCGTCCGTTATCGAACCGAACCATCACGGATCGAACTGTTTATAAACCGCTAGTTTTAAACCGAAAACCGAACTGAACCGTATAATGTCAAACCGAAACCGAACCAAACCGATTAATGTTAACCCGTTACGAACCGTAAACCGATAACAAACCAAACCGTTTATAAACCGAAACCGTTTGAACCGATTAATGTTAACCCGCTAACTGTTTAAACCGAACCGATTATAAACCGAAACCGTTTGAATAGTAGGAAAAAAACCGTTTAAATCGAACCATTTACAACCCGCTAACCGTTTACACCAAACCGTTGTAACCTGTTAAGCCGTTTAAACCGAACTATTTTCAAACCGCAACCCGTTTAAACCGATCCGATTACAAACTGTTTAAAACAAACCGTTTACAACCCGTTCCATTCAAATTGGACTATTTACAGCCTTTAACAATTTGTTAGAATTCCACGAATACATTTGATGTTTAATGTAGTTTAACAGTACAATTTTTTGTACGTATAATTATTAATTTAAATTTATAAATTTTTTTGCTATTATAAAATTAAAATTATATTCTTGCATTACTAAATTAGGAGTTATAAATTGAATAAAAAAATTATAAAAAATCTGGCCACCCACCCAATCCAACACCCTCCACCTACCCACCACCGTAACCCACCCTAACACCACCCCCGCCGTCACCCCAGACTCACCCTATCACCACCACATCCCACCACCGTCACCCCAGACCCACCCTAACACTACCCCCACCCACCACCGTTACCGTAACCCACCTCCACCCCACCACCGTTACCGTAACCCACCCCCACCCCACCACCATCAACCCAGACACACCCTAACACCACCCCACCCACCATAATTATCATAACCCACCCCACCCCACCCCACCCCACCACCCACCGTAAATACAAAAAAACCCAGACCCAAACCCCCACCCACCCCATCCACCACCGTCACCGTAAATAATAAAACCCAGACCCATACCCCACCCCACCTACCACCATCACCGTAACGCACCCCACCCACCCCACCCACCATTGTCACTGTACAAAAAAAAAAAAAAAAAAAAACCAGGCCCAACCCCAACCTCACCCACCACCGTCACCGTAACACACCCCACCCTACCCCATACGAAAAAAATCGGAAAAAAAAAAACCCAAACCCACTGTAACCCCACCCCACCCATCCCCACGAAACCCAACATCCTCGAAACCCCCCCCCCCAACTCACTCTAACTACTCACCCACCATAAAACTCCCTCCCTCCCTTGAAAAATCCTCCCTCCCCTCCCACCCGAACCCACTCTAACCGCCGCCGAACCCACCCTAACTTGGCCCCCTCCGTCGCCCACAACCTGAAAAAAAAGGAAGAACGAAAATACCTTATATATTATTATATTAATCCCGAATTTGGCCTCGAATTTGGTTTTAAAAGGCCAAATTCGATCATGCAACAACTAGATCTAGAGTTTCGTGGTCGAATTTGACCATAAAAACCGTCGTGCGTGGTGCCGGTGGACGGTGACGGAAAACGAGATGGAAGAAGGAGAACATAGATGGAAGAAGGGAAAAGAAGAAAGGAAGATGGAAGAGGAGATGAGAGAGAAAACGGGAGAGCAGTGAGCATATTAGCAGCCATGGCTCAAAAAATTGATAATATTACAGAAGAGGAGAGAGAAAACGAAAGAGAAATCAAAGAGTACTAAAGAGACAATGGTAAGAGTGATTTGATTAGTGGAAAAGAAAACACACAGATCATGAATTGGAATGTGTGCGATGATAGGCCGTTAGATGACATGCAAATCAATGGCTGATATTTAATTTAAGACGGTGACACGGATCGTGGAATGATGGATTAGGATAGTATGTTTTTTTTTATTCATAGCTACGTACTAATAAAAACACTATTGTACTCTTAAAAAATGATTAACTTTATGTAACTTATCAATTGTAAGAAACAGAAATGTTTGGAAATTCAAATTGATTCAATACGACATATTTAATGTATATTAGTTATTATATGTAATAAATAATAATGTATGGTACGATTGGTATCATACTATCATTGGTATGAATAGATAATAAATAAATGTATCTGATTATTAAAACTTAAAACAGTTGATGATCGATCTAATTGAATATTTCTACTTCTCCATCCGTTTTCTTTAACTTGCAAGTTGCAACATATATATGTTGCAGCCTTGTAGGCACGTAATCTTAAAAGGTGATCAGAGAGGGTAAGAGAACAAAGTAATTCAGCAATATAACTTTAACACCAAAATTATGGAATAGTTACAAACAATTGTCAATTATTACTTTATTAGACTAATGGGAAATTGAATAATTGTGATTTTAATTAAATATCCAAATATAGTTCTGTAACATTAAATTATTAGTTTATTACAATATCAATTATCGATTTATCGTATTCAAAGTACCAACTCATCAAATCATGGTCATGACGCGATCTTTAAAACAAGAAGTTGATAACCTGATAATAATCAATAATGAAACAATAATACATTAATACCTTATAAATTTGTAATAGACTAATATTTAATAAACAACAACAAGACTATAACCAAACTTGAAACATAACACATTAACATGATATAGAATATGAGAATTTCTGTAATTCTATATAATCTGATATCTGAATCGATTTATCATATTCAAAGTAGCAACTCATAAAAATATGGTCATGACACGATATCTAAAACAATCCAACAAGAAGCTGATAACCTGATAATATTTGATAACAATAATATATTATAAATTTATAATAGACTAATATGATAATATCTAATAAACAACAACAAGAGTATAACCAAACTTGAAACATAACATATTAACATGATATAAAATAATTGAATAAATGAAGATTTGTGTAATTGTATATAATCCGATGTCTGAAAATAAAGTGACGAAATACCAACTTGATATAAAACGAAACCAGCTAATCGGTCAAAAACTCTTTAAACCCAATTTCTACTCGATCCATTTTTTTTTTCACCAACCTATACTGACCTGCTAATGAAATGGAAATACTAGTCCCAACTTGATATAAAACAAAACGCGCTAACTGGTCAAAACCACTTTTTAGAACTCAATTTCAACCCGAATCAAACCGACTTTATCTAGTTCGCTAAAGAAATGAACCTTTTCAACCCGATCCAATTTAACCGATTACCAAACTAACCCGAATGATTTTAGCACCAAACCGAGTATAAACCGAACCGATATGAATCGAACTAGCATTAACTAGGGTAAACCCGCCCCTGAACCGACCCGTTTCAAAATAATTCGTTCATGACCCGAACCGATATGAACCTGAACCGACGTTGACCCGGTAAAACCGCCCCTGAACCGACCTGTTTCAAACCGATCCGATTATGAACCGAATCGTTTAAAAACCGAACCAGCATTGACCCGAGTAAACCCGCCCCTGAACTGACTTGTGTCTAACCGATCTGATTATGACCCGAACTGTTTATAAACCGAATCGTTTATGACCTGAACCGAATTTAAACCGTACAAAAATAAACCGAAACCGAATCGACCTGTGACTAATCAGAACCGAACTGAACCGACCCGCCGTTTAAATGAAACTGTTTCAACCCGAACCGTTTCAAACCGAAACCGTTTCAAACCGAAGTCAAACCGAACTGCCAAACCGAATTCCCACCCCTATAAATTACAGAATTAGCTTTCAGCAACTGTCTGTCTTTCTACTGCTACTTTCTCCCTTTCCCTGTATAATTTTCACAGACCCTCCTATATAAAGACCCTCCCTTTTCCTACCCTCATAACTCAAAAGAGCCTTAAATTTATGGGATAGGTACCCTCCCATAATAAGGATTAATCCCCACCTTCCCAAATCTCTTTGATAGGAAACTGCTTCAAATATTTACACCAATCCCAACTCACATTATCACAACAGACTGATACTGACATATCCTGCTAAACTCCACACTCCTTCCGTACTCTTCTTCACCCCCCTTTTACCTTTCTTTTCTTAGCTTTCTTGGAGTTAGGAATCTCATATTCTCTACCATTTCTAACTAAACATCTTTCTCTCTATTCTCTATCTTCCACCATGAGAGCTACTCATCCAAACCACCACCATAATCATAATCATCAACCTTCTCAGAAGCGAAGCAGTGCTTCAATCTTCTCCTGCGCTTTCTTTCGCCACTGTACTGATTCCCCTCTTAGTCCTAATACTCCTCACTCTTCGCCTCCACACTTTTCGTCGTCTTTGCCTCTTCCTCCTCCTCTTCCGCCACCGCAGGTAACTAGCAGGATTCTTTCTTCTGCTACTCATTCTGCACCACCTCCAACTTTGCCTCACCACCCTGTTAAGCCTTCTGATTCTGAGTCCTCTTCCTCTTCTACTTCCCAGAGTTTCACTCAGTGGCGTTTTCCTTCTACTTTTCCTCATCCTCCACCTGAACACTCTTCTCCCATGCTGCCGTCACCGACGGCTGCGGGGAAACAAGGGTTTCAGTTTCCTGATCTTATTGAGCTTTACCATATGGCAGAGCTCCATTTTGCTTCAGGGTCGGATTCGGATCGTCTTGCGGCTCTCCATATGTTGGAGCAGTCTCTTGTCCCGAACCCACCCTCGGATGCTGTCCCTGAGAGTGGGGCTTCAGTGGTGGTTCCGACGGTGGTGGTGGATGAGGTGTTACAGCACATGAGCCAAAAAGTCTCGGCGAAGTCGGCTACAAAGGTCCTGCTGGCGCTCTGCCTGGCAGAGGGGAACCGACGGATGGCAGTGGAGTGTGGGGCCCCGTTGCGAGTGGTGGATGCTCTGCCAGACCTTGAAGGGTCAGTGGCAGAGCGGGCATTGGCGGCACTTGAGCTCATGTGCACAATACCTGAGGGAGCAGCCGAAGTGCGGGCCCATGCACTCGCGGTGCCAATGCTGGTGGCAACCATGGGGCGAATGGAGGGCCGAGGGCGGGAATATGCAATTAGTGTTCTCACAGCGGTGTATGGTGGTGGTGATGAGGACCATCAGGTATGGGAGGCGGCGCCACCCGAAGAAGTAGCGCGGGCGGTGGTCCTGGCCATGCAGCAGGGGGACTGTAGTGCTAGGGGGAAGAGGAAAGGTTCTCAGCTTCTTAAGGTTCTTCAAGAAAATGGGAGGGTTGATTTAACTCAGTAATTGTGATGCAAGTTATATATTATGATTATATAGTGTATGGTTTGATTCTATATGATTTGATGAGTATCAATTATGCACCCCTGATTCCCTGAAGGCCTGATTCAGATAAATCCCTTTAACAGCAGAATCTTCATCGAATTTCGAAATTATTATCTGGTTTAGTTCCTGATTATAGCAGTCCATGTTAATTTTCTTTTCATGATCTTTGTATAGTTAACTAAGCCTGCATGTACGGAAAAATATAGATCAAGTATGCTTGCTTTTGAATTTTTGATATATATATAAGGTGTTATGGACTTATGGGTGAATATATATTTATATTGCATGTATTGTTCATGAATTCGATAAAAGTAAAGTAACGAGCGGAATAAAGGTTATGTTCTCATCATTTAATGTTGAGTTCTTCGCTTTATTATTGTACGGAGAATAAGTTTGGATACTTCAAAATCAATAAATTTAGACAAGTCAAGTTTAGGTTTGATATGAGTTAGTGTTAAGGACTATGGTGGAAGAATGACAATAACATAGATTTTTGGGTATTGTAAATTTGTAACATATCATTTGGGACCTAGAAATGAAGTGGACAGAGACGAGTCCAAGTGAAATATGAACATTGGCTTCAAAAGAATCAATTTTTAGAGCCATTATTGATAAATGGGAGATATATATGATTTGTAATAAAGAAACAAATAGGATGAGAAGAAGGCATACGTCATAATTACGAGTCATAAATAATTTTGATTACGTTACGTCATTATTATCTTTATTATTAAAAACAAATTTTGATTGCAAAATATTTGAATTATTTTCTTAAAGTAAGTAGTTGTGATATGGGAGATATATATGATTTGTAATAAAGAAACAAATAGGATGAGAAGGAGGCATACCTCATAATTACGAGTCATAAATAATTTTGCTTACGTCATTATTATTTTTATTATTAAAAACAAATTTTGATTGCAAAATATTTGAATTATTTTGAATTACGATAAGCCAAGTCATTTGTCGTTTTTAAATCCCGACATCATTTTTTTTGATAGTTAGTGTTTCACGTTTAAGGTTGAACATGGCACATAAGTTGATAAATATCTTGATAATCCTTTGTCATACAAAAATAAAATGTTACCCTACTTTTTTTTTATGAAACGATAGCAAATTGAAGATTGTCTTTGATAATGCCAAAAGCTCCAAAAGAATAAAAAAAAATAAAATATCAAGCTACTGTTTTGTTTGGAGCTACATGCGAAGTTGCAATCATCTACTCTAATCCTAAAATAAGTAATTATATGTACGAGAAGTTTCCTCAAGCTGTTTAGATGAATGAGAGTAGTGTTTGACAAAATAACAGTCATGACAATTGATATTGGCCCCTATATAAAAACTTATAGGTTGCGATTTGGCGATTTGTGTATTAGATTAAGCTCAATAATACAAAAAGATACTCGTCATATTGGTAAATGTTTCACTACCAATAATAATACGAGTATTAGAGTCTAATATTATTGTGTACTGAAATCCATGAAAAAATTTGAGAAATTGCTCGGAACTATTAAAAAAAAAAAAATCCCATCACAACAAATTCATCATCACTAGGATGAAGTCTCTTCATCAACAAGCATTACATCAACATAACATTTACAATGAATGTTAGAATTGAAATCACATGTGGTGGGACAAAGTTAGGGTTAATCACAGGAAAGATTATGTACTGAGTCTGGTCTACTGGCACTACTGTAGTAGTGAGCATATGTCAGAATTAGGGTGACATAAAGCCAAAAAGATGACAATTACAGTTCAAAGACCTACAAATTTTATGAAAGCTCACACAAGATTCCTTCAGTACACAAATTTGGACAACTTTTTTGAAAGCTTAGAGTAAGCTCTGGACTACATTTGTCTCCCAATCTTCACATCTTTTGTTCCTATTTGCTAACTGGGAAATTGAATTTAATGCTCACTTCTTTTTGGGTAAATTTCTTAGAAATCACCTCTAACTCTTACAAATACTTCCACTTTTTGTTTCAATTCATGCCAGGAAAGGGAGTTTGTCTAGCTAAGGTGACCTATTTACCTTATTTCCACTTACTATCGCATAAAATATACTCCGTAGTGTATACGTTTAATTAGTTCAGATAAGTAAAAATTATTATAAAGGTTGATAAAAACTAATCAACTGAATTTACGGCTACATAAGTTCTACTCTGTAATATAAGTTCATATAAATAATTCTACTATGTCATACGGATTCAAATAATTAAGTTTAGATGTGTTTGATAAGTGAAACAAGATGTATTGAACAGGTGGGTAGGAGTGTACATCGAAAAAATCATCTTCAATGACATGTTAATTATTAAATTAGTTTGTCATGCACTCATTGACAATGTAATACAAGTATACAACCATCCAAAACTTGTTCAATACTCTGTTTTCATACAACTGATTTACTTATTTAGTAATGGGGAATAATACTCGTATCTAACATCTTATTAATAAAATCTTTAACAATTATATTTGAAAAAAACGCATTGTTACGGATTAAACAAAATCTCTCAAGATACATTTTTTTTATAACAAGTATGAAGTATAATTTACTACAACGGGCGTGTTTTATGTGCGGCTGACCACATCGTATAACCCATGTTATACTGATAGAGTAACTCATATAACACTGACAGAATAACCACTATGATGCTGACAGAGTAACTCCTTATTATACTTATTGAGTGATTAGCCCTTGAATAACAATTTAACCCCTACAACACTAATAGAATAGCCCTTATATTATTAAGTAATCCCGAGAGAGTAAATTATAGCTCAAGTGATTAGAGCTTCCTCCCGGTTTTAGGAGATCTTGGGATCGATTCTCACTATCCGCCTTTGTGGCTCTCTAAACACCATAAAAATAAAAGTAGCCCCTATAACCCTAACAAATTAACCTCATGAGTCACAAATCAGAGGTAAAACTTTGATAATTGGATTAATTGGATAGTAAAAGAGAAGAAGTTTATATAAATGAATGAAGTACTTTGCGATTGAGGAGTAAATGACCGACATGGATGTCATTTCAGGCATTTATGAATGATGTTTATAAATACGGAAGAATAATTGGGCATCTACTTTTTTTAGCTCGTACGACTTAAGGCGGTAGGCCCAATTAATGTACGGTATGGATCTAAGTTTGATACCCTTTAATTAAGGGCCCAGCCCAAATAGGGGATTGCTATTAAAGTTACTATTCCTTTTTTTAAAAAAAATATTTATTTTGAATTACTTCATCTGATAATTTACGGCTTGTCTTGTGTGCAGCTGACCACACTATATGACCGGTTGTAAATGAGCAAAGGAACCCTAATAACACTGTCTGTGTAACTCCTATAATACTAAATGAGTAACCCCTATAACACTCATCGAATAACCCCTATAACACTGATGAAGTAACCCCTGTAAAAACTGTCTAAATAACCCTTATAACACTAACGAAGTAACCCTCATTATGGTAGGTCACACGGTGTAGCTAGCCACATATAAGAATTTGTAAATAATGTATTATTTTGATATTTTTTTTTTTCCGAAGAAATGTATTATTTGATTTTTAATTTTGTTAATGTAATACAAGTAAATAATTAATATATTGATATATAAAACTACAAATTCAGTAATGATTAAGTGGGTCCATTGGCCACCAAAAGCCCAACCAGACATATAACCACCTAATGGGTCATGTTTTGGGCTTTGCCAATTGAGCATGCTGAGATGACTGGTATTGTGGTGTACACAAATGCTGGTTTAGTTGGAACCAAATAGAGGGGCAGTGAGCAATTTCTAAGAATTGCATATTCAACTTCTTATTTGGTTGGAATAAAATGGAGGAATTGAGACTTCATTCAAACTTGTCCCTCATCTTCCTTTTCTATAGTAAGTCGCAATTCTCATATCAAAGTAAAGGAATGAAGGTTTGAAAATGATTTTTGAACATGAGGTATTAAATTTGAATAATCCAATGAGTTTGTAGGTCATCGAGTGTGCCTAGCATATTGTGACCAACTTTCAAAAAATTAAAATTTCTCACCCTATTATCCTTCACGTCTCTCACACCATTTCCACCGGTCACCAAACCTAACCTCCCCCACTAAACCCAACCTCCCTCCGGCTTCTACTACCACCAGCCGGCATCAACCCTTTAATGACGTGTTTGTAAATATAAGTTAGGATCGAGATAAATAAATATAACTAAGAATAGGGAGACTACAAACATTGAAGGTGAGGTGGAAAGGAATGTTTTTGAATGAAATTTAGTGGGAAAGTGTTGATGTAAAAAGTGACCAACACAAATAGTCACCCTAAGCTAGCTAGCCAAGTAGCTAATGGTAATTAAGTTATACTTAACTACTTCTTAAGTAGCTCAATTATGGTAATTAAGTTGTACTTTACTACAATGTAGCTTAGGGTGAAGATATCCGATAACGTACGGCGTGGGACTTTTTAGGTGGTCTAGTAAATGATTGTTAGAAATATGAGATCTTATATATTTAGAAAATATAAATATGATAGGTATATATTTTCCTAATATCTCATAACTTTAACAATGGTCCTAACCCCACCAATTTTTATTTCGCTACCACTTTTAACTACTCAACTATTTAGATGCATACGTGCTAATATTGTCATCTGAAAAAAAAAATAATAAATAAAAAAATAAAAGAAAAAAACCTTAAATTACGATTATATCAATAACTTATCAGTTGAACAAACTCTCTTTTTTAAAAAAAAGAAAAGAAAAAAATGATAGAATTTTCTTTCCTATTTCACATTTAGGAGGTCGTGTGTTGAAGGCAATTTTTCCTAACCCACTAGAAGAAGCTTTTTGTGTGATCATGTTTAAAAGCACACCCGAGTATATTATTTATTTAATTAATAAATATACTAGTAATACAATACAGAAGGGTTGGTGCTAGATGGAGGATGTTTTGGATAAAAAGAGAAGCGAGAGGGAAGAGTAAAAAAATTGATAGTTATTCCATATTCCACCTGTATAATCGATTAACGTAAATACCGAATACAACTTAGAATAGTGGAAAGATTTGCATCTCACAACTATAAGGTTGTGGAATCAAACCCTATTAAAGGCACTTTAAGGTGGAAATTTCCTTATCCTTTCCCACCTTTCCTTCACTCTTAATTAAAGAGCTTAACTTACTAACCTGAACCAAGTTAACTCGTGAGCAATTTAGGCATGGTAAAACCCTTATCCTTAACTACCAAAAAGGAAAAAAAAAAAAAAAAAGGTTAGCGTAGGTCAAATACATGTAAGCCTTCATTTTTCAAAAAAAGACTAAAATAGAAAAGTGGTGGAGCGTTGTATTTATCTAGCCTTTCTCCTATGGC